GAGAGAGAGAGAGAGAGAGAGAGAGAGAGAGGTGAAGGATAGAAAAGACTGAATGTGGTATTCTGCCTTTTTGTCTTTTGTTAGTGCGTTCTTGCATAATTAGTTAGAAATTTTCATTTTTTTTAAACATGCCAGCAACTGCACTGAAAATTACATAAACACTCACTGACGTCCTGTTTGCATCCACCTGGTTCAGCTTTCCTTCTATTTAGTTTTATAAAAAGAGAAAAGGTTCTCTTCAGCTGCTTATTGTTCCACTCTCTTAACCACCATGGCTTACTCTGCTGCCATTTGATGCAGAAAAGAGGTCAAATCTCCAGCGACAGTTGAAGTATAATGAACAACATGTCGTTTGGTGCCGGACAGCTGCTGACCCATAAATACATCTGCTGTAAAACCAAATCTGTGAGATAAACGAGCCAAAACAATCTCCATTAAGCTGCAAAGTTGGTGAGAATGTTCTTTATGCTTCTTAATGGAGGGTGATCATAATATTCAGTCAACACTTACATCCTGTTTTTTGGAGAGTTTCCTGTTTGTCCAAAACTTTGTGAAGAGTTTGAGCCCCCTTAAAACATGCATCACCCCTGATGCATCAAGAGCAGGATCTTATTATAAGCTGTGTCGGCATTTATTTTGTTAGATAGCAAAACTACAAAATGAACAAAAAGAGGTTCATTTGAAGACAAATTAAAAAAACAAGAATTAGTTCATAGTAACTAAGTGTTGTTGGTGTTGGAGGTATTATCTGTGTTTCTGTTCAGCATTCATCCGTCTGTCCCCGGCATTTTCTTGTCTTTCCATAAATCTTATCGAGAGACCTCGGTCTGCTGACTCATCATCTCTCCCTCAATCCTCCGCCTCAGCAGTCTTTTGGCTTCAGCTTTGCATCCTCTCCGGGTTTTTTTTCTGGCTTCACCCCCGTCCTTCAGTTTACCCCCCCCCCCCCGATGCATGCGTGTAACCACAGCAACAGCGAAACTATAGCAACCAGAGTCAACTTCCCCGGAAGAAACCGCCGACCCGCTGGAGGCTCGTTCTTCATGTCTTAATGAGGCTGAAACAGGATGAGAGACGACAGAACAGCTAATGAAACTACAGAAGCAGTCATTTGTAATCATTGCAGAAGAAGTAAGAACTACAGAGGATTGAAAAGGCTCTCCAGTGTAAAGTTAATTATATTTAGTGTTTGTCAGGAGGCCTGAACACACTGAACCAGCGTGAGAGGGTACCGACTCACTGCTAACGTCAGCAGCCCGCTGGATGAAGGCTGAAATCCCTTCAAAGCAGGAGAACAAAAATCAAATGTAAACTGTCATGTTTGATGAAAGAGGAGCTCGGCAGCAGTTCGGCTGATGGAGGACAAAAATCAAAGAGCCGAAAACTGATTTCAGCGCGATTCGATCAGAATTTAATAATTAAACAGAGAAATCTCCCTAATGCTGATTTGATCCTCCGTGTTCCCGGCAGATTGAATACGTCCGCCTGGTTTTAAGGGTTCATGACTTCATTTATAGACCCGAGCTTATTTCTGCAGTAAAGATCTCATGCAGCCAGTTCATTGTGTTGATCAGCAGTTTGAGTTCAGAGGATTGTTGTTGGTGGAAAAGAAGTATAAGATATTAAAAATCCTGCTTTCAAAATGTTACGAAAAATACAAAAGTATGATCATCAAAACACACTTCAAGTAGTTTTAATGGTGAAGCTAATTTGAAATTGAGGATCCATATTCTTCATATATATTTGCAATATCTCTCTTGTAGTTAAACAAACTGAACTGAAGATATCTTTTCTGTTTAAAAAGTGAAAGTGTGTTTTTGAATGGAGCTCTGCAGACAGAACGTCTCACCCTGTTAGTGCAGCAGCATCATCTGTTGGTGTTCAGTTTCCCCGTAAACCGCAGCTCTGCCTCGGGGAGTTCAACGAGCCGCCTGTTGAGCCAGGCAGCCGCCGAACAGCCTGCCAGCTCCCACAGGGTGGTCGGTTTGAATCCCTGCCCAGACACAGTCGACCTTGCCAGAGAGTCGGAGGAAGTTAGTATGCATGTGTGGACTCATTCTTCTGCTGTGTGCCCATACAGGTGGAGATATACTTGTATTCCAATTCAAGTCACTTTATAGACATTCATCCATCTCTGATGCGCTGTGGGAGCCCTTTGGGTTGCACTCTGTCCCAGTTTAGCTCCAGTTGGCTCCAGCAAAACTCTACACGAGCCAGTGTTGTTGTAGGTCTGAGAAGAGAGGTTGTTGTGTGCTTCACGGGGACAGACTGAGGACTCTGGGCGACATGATTAAACCTGACTTGTTTCAACTGCAGTGTAAAGTGATGCAAATAGGACTTAAACACACACACACACACACACACACAGCCTCGCTCGCTCTCTACTTTACATACAGACTTTGATCAGTTGAAGGACAATTTACTGCAGGAACACTGCCAAATATGCAGAGTAACACACACACACGCACACACACACACTCACACACTCTGGGCCGAGGTATAAAACTGCAGCGTGTCTCTTTCCTGCTTTAATGACGTGTTTAAAGTGAATTTAGAAGGTAAACTTTTTTCTCTTTTTTTTAAGATCGTCTGCCATCCGCTCTGCAGCCGAAGCTTTAAAGGGAACGTTCAGACTCGGAAACAAAGCTGGCAGCGATGCGCATTCGTTCCCACAATGTTGCACCGTTTTCATTCAGGCCGCGTTGCCAGGAAACAGCCTCGGTCCAAAGGCATTACTCTCGCGGCCGTACGTTCCACTATCAGCAGAGTTCAGTCTATTTTTCTACGTGCGGCGCTTTCATTAAACTCTACCGTTGCTTCACCCTGACGAGGTTCTAAAGGCGCCCTGAGAAATGATGCAGGAGTCCTGTCAGGCTGAGCGCCAAACCCACGGCTGGCTTTTGTCAAACTTTGGAGCAATGTTGCCGGTTTCCCCTCCGGTGTTGCTGATGAACGAGACCTGCTTCATCGCGTCGGCCCTCTGGTGGTTTGGATCCATCAGGTGGAGACCAAGACGGTCCTTCTTGGCTGTGGCATTGTGCATTGTTGCCATGCTAGCAGTTGGTCTGTTGGTCCATCACTTTGGTTCACAAACAACAGCTATTGAATTGATTGCCCTGAACATGCATGTTCCCCAGAGGATGAGTCCTACGGACGTTGGTTATCCCCTGTCTCTGGCGCAACGATGAAGCTGACATTGTTGGTTGTTGTGAAATATAGAAACAACTGTTGGATGGATTGCCTTGAAATGAGGTTCAGACATTCATGTTCCCCAGAGGATGAGTCGTATGAACCTTGAGTGTGAACCAGTGTGCTTTTCTTTGGACATTTGCTTCCTTAAACACTTCACCAGAACATAAATCGTTTCCGATAAATGAATTATATTTGACATAAGAACCACATGCAATCATCTCTGCTGTGTGTCTTTCAGTGGTTCGGGGATCTGGTGACTCCGGTCTGGTGGGAGGACGTCTGGTTGAAAGAAGGTTTTGCTCATTTCTTCGAGTACGTCGGCACCGACTTCCTCTTCCCAAAGTGGAACATGGTGAGTAAAACAAAGTTGAATTCATTTGTTTATCACACTCACTCGTCTTCCTATTAAGCTCTCAACAACAATGCACTCTATTATACATTTCTTTAATTCATTTGTGTCCGATCTTTTATTCAAGACAAACAGAAAATAAAGCTTTCAACTCAGCATGTTGATTCAGTTTTCTGAACCTGCGTCGGTTCGCTCATGAAATGTAATTACTTTTCCTTCCGGTAGCTTTTAGGAGAGTTAGAAGTTCAGCTCGAGGCTCCAGTCAGTCAGATTTGAATATATTTTATTTTGGATTAAACCACGTAGATGTCTCCAGACACCAAATACAACACGGGGAGAAAACAGTCCAATAGGATTTAAAAGAGCAGATATCTTCTCAGACATAAAAAACAAACAGTGGATATTGAATAAGAAACAGTTCAGAAGCGGAGGATCTCTGTGGACTCTTCTCATTGGTGAGGGTTGTGTTTTGGTAAAAAGATATTTAAATGGCAGGTCTGAGGATTATCCGGAGTAACTGGGGCACTTTCTGTGGACGTGGAGTTAAACAAAGCCCCATTCAGCAGCATTGTACTGGTGGTGGTGGCAGAATAAATCGAACATTTCTGCATTGTTAGATACCACAGCAGAAGAAGAGAAACACATGTTTTTCTGACCCTTTTTAACAAATTTGTTATTCTGTATTTTTCTTACTGTCGACAAATCCCAAGTGCAGACACCAACAACAATGTGTTAATCCGTCTCTCAATATGTTCCTACTTCCTGTCTGTGGCTCTCAGCCCCGAGCTCATTGGTTCCTAGTGAAGAAGTAAATCTTTCCAAACTAAAATATATAATTCAGTTTTTTAAAAGTCTCAGTAATTTGCATAAACAGCTGGTAACTGTAGTTTTTCTCAAACAAACAGGAGAAAAAAGGGCATTTGTTGGGGACTATTTTCAGCGCGGATTAATCCACATTTGGTGCTGTAGTGAGTATTTGAATGTAGGATTGAGTCGAAATAAACTACAGTGTGCGTGTGTGTGTGTGTGTGTGTGTGTGTGTGTGTGTGTTCATGTTCATGGTGTTTAGATGCGTTCACTGCTGGTTTTGGACTTTTACATGAGCTTTGTTGACAGTAATAAATATACAGAACATAGACTTATACTTTGTGAAGAGAAGTCAACTACAAATTCAAAGGTAACAATCTCCAATCACATCGCATTAATTTGCATTGTATGTGCCACTAACAGCCAACTAAAGTCACAACTAAATCGACAAACAAAAATGGTGTTTTTAGTATTTTTCCGATGAAGTGATCCTCTATAGTTTGAGTAATTCTCCTTCCTCTGAGGATCAAAGATCACCGGCTACAGATCCGCCTGCCTCTCAGCTCTCTATTCCATCTTGTTTCTCTTTGTTGTATAAACTTTACATAACGTATGAAACGTGTGTTTATAAGAAGGAAGTTAAAAGTGTCTTTTGAGTAGGAGGAAGTCCTGACTCCTCCTGAACTCCTCCACCTTCTTCCACTCGCACGGATCAATACGTGGCTCCTCCTTCTCTCTCAAAGTTTCCTGCAGATAATATTCAGCCCCGAATCTGCAGCAGATGAAATCCGATTTTGTTTTATTCTGCTTCAGGTTTCGCTGACAGATTGTTGCAGAGTGAGTCGGCTCAAGTCACAATGAAATCAGAAAATAAAAATTCAAATGTGCTGAAAGAGTCCCAGACCTCCGGTTCCTCCCAGACCTCCGGTTCCCCCCCGACAGACAAATTCAGTGAGAACTTCTCAGAGAAACAGAACTTTAAATTACAGCACACGCACACTTCTTCCTGCTTTGTTTCCGCCGACGTCCGTCGTTATTTACTTCCAATGTAGAAAGTGTTCCACCAGAAACACCTTCCCTCCCGCATGCACACAGTCTGCTTCTGAGCGACATGGCATTTTTAAATCCTGGTTACTGCAGTTCTGCACGGTCGGACGCTTTAATAGAAACATAGTGTTTCTCCAATAACCAGCACAACGATGATAAAGCGGTTTGTTCCTGATAAAGCAATTTATTTATAACACAGGTTTTATTCAAAAAGCAGTTTAAATCAGCAGTGAGTCAGACGGTGCTGCAGGGAGAGGAACCAAACACAGCCCGGGAAATTAAACACAAATGAAGACGTGACAATGAAGGAAATACGCCGTGTGTTTGTCTGTATTCAGCCAATCAGGTAGCGTTATGTCCTCACTTAAAGATCCCTCCTCCATTATGTCTACGTCCTCTCAATGACTTTAGATACTGACTTCTATCCGTGCAAACTTTGTCACAACTTTGAAAGCAAATTGGTGTTTAATTAAGACGCAAATTGAGAGGCGTATCGACAGGGAGGCGGTGTTGGACACAAAACCGGAAAAGAAACCTGAACCCTCCAGCGGACTCCTCAGTACAGAGAGCCAGTTTGGATTAGCAGAAGAACACTGAGTGTGCAGTTTAGGGACGTAAACCTGAACCCTGGAGCTTCTTTCTTCTATCTACCAGAACATCACACTAAATATTGGTGAATGTTTCTCAAACAAGCACAGGACTCTGACTCAGGGGACCGGTGTTCGTGTCCCGTGTGAAGCATAAAGTTGAGTCATTTTTTAGTGACGTAGCAATCTCACACGATGCTACTCCACTGAGTCACATGACGTTACGTATGTAGCTTACGTTACGTAACTTAACCTAACTGCCCTGTTTCACTACGTTAACCACGACCGTTTTTACAACGTTAACCACGTCTGTGTTCAACGTCTACCGTCTCACGTTTATCACGTTTCACAATCTTAGTTGCAACCGTTTCACAACCTTAACCATGTGTTATAACACTAAAAACCTGACCGTTTAAAGACGTAAACCACATGTTATAACCCTAACCATGTGTAAAGCTTCAACCACGACCGTTTCACAACCTTTACCACGTGCTACTATAAAAACCTGACCGGTTAAAGATGTGAATTATGTGTTACAACCTTAACCACGACGTTAAACCTGACCGTTTAAAGACGCTAACCACATATCCCAATCGTAACCACATATTATGTTTACTCAATGTTTCTATTTCTTAGTGATAATACAAACCATAAATATGATTCATACATTGCTGGAATCTGTGCTTCAAGGTCCTTTGTCTCTCGATCGTACGCACATGTTGCCGACACCCTGAGCTGCATGTGGAGTCTTTTGCAGAACATTGTGAGCCAGCAGCTTGTTTTTCATTTAGCTCGGTCACTTTCACACCTTTTAACTTTATTTATTTTTTGGTTTGCACCAAAATTCAAACTGTCAAACTGTACAATCAGCTCTATGTGGAGCCATCGGGGGGAAATCGAAGGTGAAAGGAAGTCTTTATCGGGCCTGATGGGTCTGTTTATTGTATCTGATGGCAACAAAGAGCTTGTTAAAAAATAATTGGATTGGAGCAGCCAGGGCTGCAACTAGACCTCATATGACATAAATACTAAGTTCAGCTTTAACACCAGTCTGAACACAACAGACACACCAGACTTCTTTTGAAACATCAGCACATACACTTGTCTACATACATCACATTCACGAGATAACTTCAGATTAGATTCCAGAGGAAATGGTGCATAGTTACAAAATCATTTCACGACAGGTTAACAGCAGAACACCTCAAGGTGCCACTGAGACAGAACCAGGACATTCTGATGCAGCATTTCAACATTAAAGCCAGGTCTCTGGGGAAAGCAACATTAGATGGATTTCGATAAATAAAGTTATTCATTGCAGGATTGATTAACAATAAAATAGGTGAACAAAGGGAGAAATGCCTGAGGGGGGTTGCTAAATCTATATGAGAATAAATAAAACCCAAAGGGAGCTTCTAGCTCGTTTTTTAAAAGGTCTTACAAACCAAACTCTAAACAGAAGAAAATTAAACCTGAAACGCCCTCACGTTTCTCCTAAAACACAGATATTACAGAAAAAGTTGCTTGAGAGTTGTCTGTCATCTGGACACGTTTAAATGACACTGAGATAAAAGAGGAGGAGGAGGAGGAGAGGAGTGATGGGGTGGAAGTGAAGGAGGACGGAGGACGAGCAGACGTTTAAAAAGTTCAGCAGCTGCTCCTGAACGCAGCCCCGTCCCTCCAGTGTAAGTGTTTACACTGACTGTTGGCCCATTAGCCGTCCTCCACATGTGGGTCCATCTGGTTCATAATGGCCACATGGACCAGATGGACCCCCCCCCCCCCTCTCTCTCCAGGTGACTTTAAGTCTCTGTTAATTAGAGCTGATGTCTCATTTAGTCCCATTTTTCTTTCTCACCGAGTTGGTTTCGTCCAAATGTGCCATTTAACTAATTAACCGATTATGTAATTTGCGGTGGAGTCCCATGATGCAGCCTGTTTACCTCTGTCGGTGTGCATCTGTTGGCTCTGAAATGAAAGCAGTGGTCTGTCTTTACTCCAGGAATTAGTCCAATCCTTTGAGGAGGGATCAGGAATTAGTCAGATTCACTCCCGTCAGCCAAGAAAAAGATTTATTTGAGAAGCGTTTATCTGACACATAGTGTGGTTCACAGACTATGAAGTGCTGCTCTCAGCTGGAGGCGCTGTAGCTGCCAGCCAGCTGGAATCCAGTTTTCAGCTTTTATCCAACCACCACCTACAGTTACACCCAAATAACCCTAGAGACGTTCTTCTACCTCCAGCAACCCTCAGGTAACAGCAGGTACCCCCACTAACAACGTATCCTCATACTACGGTTCCACTGATATCTTACCAAAAGTCACTTTTTTGTGCGTTGTCCTACAAAAGTCCAGCAACATTTGTCAACTTCCGCTCATCACAGGCATTCAGTCTTCAAAATATCCCTCCACCTTTACAGGAAACAACTAAGTTACGTTTAAGCAACAAAACTACTTAGTTAGGTTTAGGAAAAGACGGTGAAATACTTTCAGGGACAGATTGTGGTTTGTGTTAAAGTTGCGTGACAAATAAATCAATAGTGACTTCGTGTTGCACACGGGGCATGTAGAGCGGTCTCCTGCAGGAAGTGTTGGTTTTCTTGATGATGCTGGTTCTGTAAAGAAATGAATCACATTAATTAAGAGAATCGCATTCAAGTGCTTTTTTACATATTTTGAATCCATACCACATGTACATGGACAAAAAGAGGTTTGCATTCTCCATCTACAAAACACGTGGGTTCTTTCTTCAGTGTTTTTGTGTTTGCATCTGTTTGGGTCTTTAAAGCACCTGAATGGCCATTCGATGAACACATTCTCACCTCTCCACCAGAAGAGAGGTGAGAATGTGTGTCGGTCGCCTTTTCAAGCAGCTCACACCGTTTGAAAGGAGAGCAGACCAGGACACACTCAGAGAGTTGATTTGTAAGAGAAAAAAGACTCCACGGGGAACCTTCTAAAAGAAGTTCATCTAGTAAAAACAGAATAAAACGAGATTGTTGGACGTTTTGCTCACTTTCCACTCGGCCCTCCTTTGTTCTTCACAATCAATCTCTGTACTTCTGATAACGTAATAACTTCATTACAGAACTCATGGGTCAGTTTTGCATCCCAAAAGTCCTCCACGGCTCGGAGGAGTGCGTCCCTTGAGCGAGGCTTTACGTCCTTGCACATGAAGTTTTTCATCGACTGCCGAACGAGCTTGTTGGGGTTCAAATCCGGTGACCGTGGCGGAGTCCTCACCCAGTTGATTTCCTCAGATGCGATGCAAGTCACCGCAGCGGTATGCTTTGGATCGTTGTCCTGGAGGAAGCGGTGATGTGGCCCAAAATGTTCCTTCATGTATGGCGCTGCAATTTCATCGATGATCTCATTCTCGAAATAGCGTCTGTCCATGTTTCCCTCAAAGGTGACCAAAGGACCGGCACCGTGGCGGGAAGTCATTCCCCAGACATAGAGCTTGGTTTTTAGATCTGTTGAGTTAGGGGACATTTTACAAACTTTGTGGTTCACGACAATGTTTTTATTATTTGAGCTTGCATGTAAACTCAGCATTACATGAAATACATCAAGTTTTTTTCCTCGTGTAAAAGACATTAGTTACATTTCAGTTATTGTACTGGTGTGTCAGCCGCTCTATTTCAACATTAATGATGTTCCTTGTTAACAGCAGATAAAGTCTCACACAATTATCTCTTACTGTTCATCATTCACTTCTCGTATTGCTTTCAGTTTCGCTGCAGTTCTGTTGAATAATGCATCTCTTGACTTTCATGTAACGGAATATAAAATCGAATCACTAACTAGAGACGTGTTTGTTTTAGCTGAATGAATTTGAACAATATATTTAATGTTAGCCAACTCATAAAAATAATCTGTATCAGTGTTTTACAAAAAGCTTACAAGTTAAATTTGCAGAAATAAAAAAAGAATACGATGATGAAGCAAGAAGTTATCTGCAAAACGCCACAAACCAACCGGGAGGAATTGATTCTGTAACCTCATATTCACTTTACCGCCCCTACACGAACCGTTTAAAGAAAGAAGTCAAGTTTTAAACAAATTATAATGAAACAAAGTCGAATATCCTGTTACCAGTTTGATTTGGCTGCAAAATATTTATTCAAATGTAGATTTTTAAGACTAACGGTTTGTCTACAGACGAGTTAATAGTGCTTTGATCAGTGATTATTTGTGGCTGAAAAGCCCTGAGCGTGCACAGCGAGAGCCTGCAGCTACAAAAATGTCAGAGTTGCACGACCAAATCCGCTCGTTTTCTTGCCCGCACGCCGGCGTCACTACGGCAAACATAAACCAAGTATTACGAGGCGGCGGTGCGTTCACTGTCATCAAGGGGGCTCACACGTCAACCAAGTGCAAAGGAGGGACCCTCCAGAAACTTTAGATGGCTGCTACTATGCAGTCTCCCGTCAGTCTTACACCAGTTATTAGATGGGTACATTACCATTAAGCTTCAGGGACAAAGGAAACATAACAGAGTCTGAATCACAGAGTTAGAACGACCTCTCAACACTTTCTGATTATATTCTTACATTGAAACTAATTGAGAATATATTGTTTTGCAAGATGAATATTTCATGCAATTAATAAATGGACAGAGCCCCATCTGCCAAAAAGTAGCCTGATCCCAGCGGACACTAAATCTCTCTGGTGATTCTAATGTTCATTAAAAAATAATTAATCTCTCAAGAAACTTTTGTTTAACTCGAGGTAGATTTGTTAACAACAGTTCTACTTGATTAACAACTTTAATCTATGAATTACACAGAGCCACATTGGACCAAGAATTAGCCACATCCCAGCAGATACTGTTAATTCAGAAAAAGTTCCTGTTCATGCAGTTCATTAATGATTAAAACTTTGTACGCCAACAATTCCATTGCTTAACAAGATGGAGGTTCATTAAAACCAAATCTCCATAGTAAACACTGTAATCCATGATTTAGACAGAGCCGCACTGCTCCGGATTTAGCCTGATCCCAGGGGTAATTTAGACAGAGCTCATTATAGCTCTACATGTTTGCAGATGTCTATTAAAACCCTGAAAGCAGAAGAGGAGGAGAAGAGATGAAACAGGAAAAGGAGTAATGGGAGGAACTGAAGAGAGGAAGAGAAACCAGAAGGAATGAATGGAGTGGAGGAAAGAAGTAGAGGACATCTAAAGAAGGGATGATAAAAAAATTGAGGAAACAGATTAAATGACAAGATTAAAGAAGAGAGGAAAACAAAGGAAGGAAAGGAAAAGATGCAATAAAAAAATGAGGGAAGGAAATAAGGAGAGGAAAGAATTAGCGCTAACAAGGGGATGAAGAGTGGAAACAATAAATGAAAACAAGATAAACAAATATTACAATATATTAAAATGATCCAGATTAATTTCACAACTAAATGTAGTTTAATGAATGAACTGTTCCACTAAATCACTCTTTGTTGACCAACTTTGTTGTGACAAAACTGCTTAATTATTTAACTGGAGTTGAGAGCTGAGCTGGAAAAAAACAAAGCAAACCCCAAATTCAAAAAAATCACTGTGAAGAGTTTTAATCACATTTGGGATCACACACCAACATTGAGGGGACTCCAATACGTGGACAGATCTGGGTCCCTTCTTTTGGGATTAGGGTGTCTTTTTATTGTAAGCATAGCTGGAGGAAAATCAAGACTCCACAAATCACCGGATAGTATTAAGAACATTCTGGGGACTGTTACCCGTTCACACACCAACATTGTGGGGACTCACCTACCATATGGGGACAGGCTTCTAGTGGGGGAGTCACCAACATTGTACGGACTTACTGATCATATAAGGTCAAACATTTGGTTGGTGAGTCGCCAACATTGTGGGGATTATTGCCCGTTCACACACCAACATTGTGGGGACTCACCTACCATATTGGGACAGGCATCTGGTAGGTGACTCCCCACAATGTTGGTGACTCAACTACCAGATGCTTGTCCCCAGATGGTAGGTGAGTCACTACCTTCTGGGGACCAGCATCTGGTATGTGATCAACTCTCCTATTTTTAGGGGTAAAATATGGTTTTGGTTTAGAATACGGGTCAAGATTAAAGGTTGGTTGGACACGTAGGGGTTAAAGGTTGTGACCAGGCTCCAGAGAATGTGAATGTCAGTACAAGGTCTCCTTAAATACCAAAGACAAATATGCGTGTGTTTTCAGGAGAAGCAGCGTTTCCTGACCGATGTCCTCCATGAGGTGATGCTATTGGATGGGCTTAGTACCTCCCACCCAATCTCCCAGGAAGTGGAACAGGCGACGGACATCGACCGAGTCTTTGACTGGATCGCCTACAAAAAAGTGAGTCGTGGTTGGATAGCTTCGATGGCTTGTGAGCGAACAGTTCCAATGAAATGAATGGATTAGTGTCACGTTAACAATTGAGAGCATGTTTTCACTTGTTATTGGGTTTGAAAGTGTTTCTCTGCGCTGCCTTTAGGGGGCGGCGTTGATCCGGATGCTGGCTAATGTGATGGGACAGACGCTGTTCCAGAAAGGACTTAATGTAAGTTCATGTCATCCTGCAGGTCCAGCTGTGCAAACAGAGGTTTTGTATCTAGGACAACAGGGAGAGCCGAGGTTTGGCTTCAAAATGGTTTGTCACCTGGATTCAGACAGAAGCTGTGTGGGTTTTCTCTCTCTCCGTGTGTGTGTGTGTGTGTGTGTGTGTGTGTGTGTGTGTGTGTGTGTGTGTGTGTGTTTGTGTGTGTGTGTGTGTGTGTGTGTGTGTGTGTGTGTGTGTGTGTGTGTGTGTGTGTGTGTGTGTGTGTGTGTGTGTGTGTGTGTGTGTGTGTGTGTGTGTGTGTGTTTGTGTGTGTGTGTGTGTGTGTGTGTGTGTAGCCATATTTTGGCTAAAGCCCGACTGTCTGGAGCACACTGAGGATGGATGCAGATGGACAGTGTATAAATGGATTTGGCTTTGAGTTTTGCTATTTTCTTTCTGCTGTAAAACAATACAACAAAACACTATGAGTGACCTGAATTCAAGCTGTACAGGGGTGACAGTTATGACACTCAAAGGACAGATTGTTTTGGGGGATCCAGGACTACTGATATTCTAAATATTATTCCAAAGCCAACAGTCCAAGTAACCCTTTACAATTTCCGATCATATTTAACACGTTCAGCTGTTTAAATGCTGCTCAAAGCTTGAGGAGACAGGAGTAAAATTCTGGTGCGTCATTTTTATATTAATAATATACATGTTCATTGATCAGCCGCTTTTATGGAGCAATAAGCCTTGGACAGAATAATTTCTATACAAATGTTTTTAAAGTAATTTGCTTATAATAAAAAAAATAAAAAAATAAGCTGTTGTCTTCCAGTAATCATTTTGGGTCTTTTCATACCCGACAACATATTGGAAAACATTTTCAGACTGCGCTGGTCTAACGTTAAATTAAATTTGTTGTTTTGTTTTATTACTTTACTCCCATGATGCTTTGCCTCGCGGTAACCCGTCTGCTGCTGGTTGCTACATGCAGTTGGTGGGAACAAGTCATTTTCTTTAAATGACAACTGAAAACCCCTGTGGTTGAAGTCACCTTATTGATGTCTCGTCATGTGATGCCCCCGAAATAAAACTCAACCGTCCTGAGCTGCAGTGACAAAGATCCGGCCCAAAAAACCAGCAAAGCCTCGCCCCAAGTCCAGGGTGAGGGGGAAGAAGAAGAATTGGGGCCAGTATACAGCAAAGCTGTCCGTCTCATAACTTTGTATTCATGTTATAAATATACTCATGTCAGTTAGCTGGTAATCTGCATGAGAACTAAAGGAAAACAAAATATGCTCTCATAATAATCTGTTTATAGTTTGACCCGCACAGATCACCACATTTCATTGATTCAAATCTAATAAAACTTCCAGAACTCCTTTTTCCTCAAACCTCCAAAGTCCCGCTTCATAAAACCCAACGGCTCCTGAAGCCGCTGGCTTTTAGAGGTTTAGGGATGTTTGCAGAGTGTCAGCAGAACATTTCATGAACTACCAGAAGTTCCTTGGAATTATAAGCTCAAAGCAGAATTCAGAACATTGATCCGTGATGGGGAAAGGAAGTTTGGCTGTTATACAAAGTGATGAAACATGAATCGGAGAGAGAAGCAAGCAGCAAATCTGAGCTTCGTATCGACGAGTCCGTTTTACTCTGGAGGTTTGGAGGATTTTGTTTCACTGAGTCGAACCGCTAAAAGATACAGCAGAGACGACGACGAGGAGCGCGTTGCATTATTTATCGCTCAGCCTCACGGAGACGCCAACCGGCTCTCTGACGGGTCACATTTAATCCACAAAATTGGAGGAAATCACTTGGCTGTGAACGTGAAAATGATGTAAGGTGAAAGTGGGTTAAATATAGCTTTCTATCTGAATAGAGGGATGAAAATATGTATGATTCCCCTGCGCGCGTACACACACACACACACACACACACACACACACACACTATGTCCTGCTTTTTCTGCAGAAACTGCCGGTGACCTGGAACATACTGAGAACCAGATTCTATATAAAAACACTGCTGATCCAGCAGCAGATCACAGAGAAGTGTGTGTGTGTGTGTGTGTGTGTGTGTGTGTGTGTGTGTGTGTGTG